ATGTAGCAAGAGACTTGTGGAGTGCCAAAGCTGGAGAAATGATAGACCCGAGCGGTCCTGGGATACCCTACCCCTGTCTAATGTTGAGGGTATTGAGCATGAGGTTGCTGAGTAATTTATCTAGGTTACATGGCTACTGGGCATCAATGGGGGAGACTGGGATAGGAGAAGCCTACTAACTCTCAAACCAGTACAACTTCAAAAGTAGTATATGTACTTGATCATCTAAAACGTGTCAACCCAAGCATGACCCATGTAAGTGAAGGTGCTTTAGCCATGGGAGAGATCTGGAAGTCATCCTGTGCTATCTCCCTCCTGATACAAGAATCCTGTTGTGAACATCCCTAACCATGGATGATGGCCATTCATCGTGGCTTACTCCAGACCTAAGGAGATGAGTATTTTATGGAATATTTTGTTTTGTCTTGGATATCTCTACATACTAATAAACTAATTCTAATAGAAGGTTAACTCTATAGTTTTGAAGCATTGACCCATAAGACTGAGGGTGTCCAGAGGTCAGTGGCTTCGTAGGTGATGGTGACTTTTGCTTTCTTTCTCTTAAAATGAAAGCAATGATGCCCACCTTGTAAGGATCACCATAACAACTAAAGATGTGGTTTATAAAATATCTACCATAGTGCCTGCTTCAACGTAGATACTCAAGTTGTGGTTGTAAGTGACTTCTTAGCATCATGATTCCGTGCTCTGAAATGATGCCCTCTAGAGAGACAGACTGTGTCTAATCCTGCAAATATTTGAAGGCATGTAGTGTGACCCTCTAGGTCTTCCCTCTTCAGACTAAATATTCCCTGGTCCCTCCGCCGTTCTCCCCTCGATGCATTTGGAGTTCATTCATTACTCTCATTCCCTCCTATTTGTCAATTTTCCTCTTAAAATGTGGTGGCCAAATGTGGTCAGGCTAACGTACCCTACTGTGGAATAATTACTTCCCCGATCAGGACATTTCACTTCTAAAACAACCTAGATTTATGTTAGCATTTTTGGAAGCCAGATCACACAGTTGGCTCAGGGAAAACCTGATTCTGCTTTCCAGAACATTAGCTGTGTCTCCCAACTTTGTGTCAACTGCAGATTTGACAAGCACAATTTTTATATCTTCATCCAAACTGTTGATAAAGATGTCGAACACAAAAAGGCCAAAGGCCGAACTTCAGTGCACACATCTGATCTCTGTCTGTATACTGACATCCATCCAATATCATCTGTTTGGTGACATGGTTTCTCCAGCTTCAAATCTCCCCACCTGCACAATCAAAAATAACTCAGCAAGATAATACGCTCCTTGTGTTTTTGAAATTGGATGTTGAATTTATCTGGATGTAAAATACTATTCTTTTATCAATAAAGACAAGTTTTGAATCCATAATTGGGACAATGTGAACTCAGAAAATAATTTCATGTTTGAATTCCTATGTAATGCTTAAAGAAAACAGTCACCTTCTCTAAATGTGGAATGGGAATGCTTTTGCCAGATTGTTGATTTTCCCAAAATGTTTTAAAATCACTCTCTGGGTCTAGGGGAAGAAGGCTAGAGAGCACGCAGACTTTAAGTGTGTATGTTGGGAAATTGTGAAGGGATGAAAATATAATTCAGGAGTCATCTTGTAGAGACCTCAGAGATAAAGGGACGTTTTACAATGGTTGCCGGGGGAAGGATATAAGACTTCTTCCTAGATGATAATTATTTTCTCTTTAATGATTCTTAAAAAAGATCTTGAGCTTTGGCATCTTGGGGTGAAGCTTTTTTTCTCTAACTTGACATGCATGCTCTGCTCTCACAAAAGCCAACCGAGTTCCTTGTTGAGCAGCCTGAGCCTAATCTTCCTCAATTTGTCCGTAAACATAAAGAAGGTTGCTGGTCATTACAGCAAAGTGGTCACTTGGGATGCTTTGAGCATGCTTCCAAGATTTCCCTTTCAAGCTTTCTTCTTGGTTCTCATCTCCTTTAATTCTTTAGCCCAGACTTGAACAAATTCCTTTAAGTCTAAAACTCTAGTGCTCTCAGCATGCTTTCAGGTTCCAAGGTGAGCAGATGAGATGTTAGCGCTTCAAAAGTTGACCAGGCCATAAAGGTGTGAGGATCACCAATCTGAATACCTAGGAACACTGTCCTGTGGGTCACTAGGCACTCACCTGTGCTATGGTAATAGAGTCACAGTGGAGAGTAAAATCAGATTTAGTTTCTACTCTCACAGCGATTACAAATGAGGGCAGAAATGGCCAATAATCATAAAATTAAGCACAGCTGTAATCTTATAAAAATCCCTCTAAAGGAAACAGTTCCCATCACTAGGGAAGTAAGGAAGACTTCCCATGGAATGACCAGTGTGAGAGCTGAAGGTGAAGTCCTGGCAAGACCATTGGTGTCAAAAAGAAAAACAAACAAAACCAAAATAAAACGAAAATCCATGTTTACAAGGTGTGGTACTGACATGGAGTAAGATCAGAATATGGGCAGGAGAATTCCAGAAAGGTGGGAGGAGGCCCCAAGAACTAGAGTGTTGACAGGATTAGATCAACTGCTTGGTAGGAAAGGTCCCCTAGCAGTTGGAGAGGTCACAAACAGTGCTGTTGGTGGATTTCAAAGCAAAGAAGCCTTGCAATGTCTTTGAGTGGGGCTGTGTATTACACTGTGTGCAGTGTAACTGAATATACATTTTGAAGAGCTCTCGGTGTGGTGATATGGAAAGGAGGAGGGAGAAGAGCCAGGAGTGAAGAAAGTCAGAAGTCTCCCACTACAGGACAGGAAACGACAGTGGTTAGGTATAGGCTGCTGGAAGAAGGCATGGGAATATAGGAAGAGGAGGGGTGCTTGGGGTAAATTGGTAGAATTTGAAAGTGTATCTGGGCATGACAGAAAAGAGGTGTCCTGGGAGCCAAGCAGTGGTGGTGCCTGCCTTTAATCCCAGCACTCGGGAGGCAGATCTTTGTGAGTTCAAGGCCAGCCTGGTCTATAGAGTGAGATCCAGGACAGGCACCAAAACTACACAGAGAAACCCTGTCTCGAAAGACCAAAGCAAACAAACAAAAACAACAACAGCAACAACCCCCCCAAAAATGGAGGTGTCCTGGGTAACTCAAAGAGACTTCATACTTTTCTATTCTCCTCTGTGTGTGTAATGATAGGGTTCTAGACATCAACTTGTACAGCTTTAGTGATACCCAATAGAAACAGCACAATAAAATAATTATGAAAACGAGAGTGGGAATTCTAGGCTTTGGACCTATTGTTGAAATATAGGTGATTATTAGCGATATGGGAAACGTTTGAGTATCACTGAAGAGCTAAACAACACAAGAGATCACTCACACAGTGTTCTGCAGCTGGGAACGTAAGGGTATTAAGGTTCACTTTTGAGAAAACGAACACATGATCTTCATTTCCATCATTATTTTAGTGATTCGTGAAATCTTTAGATCCTATAAAGGAAAAGATAGCAAACTCCTGCCTGCATGGCCACGTAACTCTAGACGCCATTTCCTTCCTTTCCCCTTTGCCCAGCCACAGTGTTTTCCCGTGCCAGGAAAACCTTCCAGTGTATAAAAGGGGCCTTTGGGGTCCTGTGATGACACAGTCAGCTCTCAGTCTGAACCAGGTGCCCATTTTCCATCTGGACTCTTTACAAATTGTGTGGTTAGGGCTCAGAAATCAGAAACCTGGGAAAGGTGCCATGTGATGGGTGCAACCACCCCCAATGCCTTACATGTTATCACCATCATTTAGCACATAGTGCAGGAAATCCTGCTCCTTGCAGAAGAAATTCAAAGGGCCACTTCACAGCCTCCTGGGTAACATCGATTTTTTTCCCCTTGCTAACACCAAAGTGTGGACAGATATATACTTTTTTTCCTCAAGTGAATTGCAAGTGACACTCCATTTCTTTCCCCCAACCCCATCTTTAACCTACTATCCAACTGACCTCTGGAAGTCGCCTACCCTTCTAGACGGAAGGACGGACGGTACCAGCCGGCACAGGGATCTGCCTCAGACTCTTGACTATTAGCAGATTGACCATGCTCTTTCTCTTCCTTTGCTCTGCTCTGACTCTGTCACATCTCAGCCCCAACGTGACAAAAAAAACATGATCAACTCTCTTCTGCCTTGGGGTGCATTCTATCTTGTCTCACCAGCTTGCTTTTCTACCTAGTAAAGTTATTTAACTCAATTTTATTTTAGCTTATTTCTGAATTTCAAACAACATAGCTTCCATTGGAGTCATCAGAAATCAAGGCATGACAGTAGTCTGTGGTGTGGCTCAGACAATTTTTGTGTTCCTTCTCTAGTTCATCTAGGCAATAGCATTTGTTGAGGGGCCACTCAGATCCACACACCACCATTCCGTACTCAGGAGGACAAGACCACTGTTCTATATTCCATTAATCCATATGGTTGTCAGAGGGGGATTTTGTGGAGACAAGGCCATATGTTGCAGTATTATCCTTGTCACTGGGCTCCCAGTTCCCTGATTTGATCTATTAGAACCATCCCTCCACACTCCACAGCTTGCTCAGCATCCTAATTATAATCTAGGAAAGTATTAGTTTCCTGGAAAAGAAGATACGTGGTTGTGGTGGTGTAGTCCTGAGAACAAGGAAATCAACCTGGTGCAATGCTATGCAAAGCAGGATGCAGAACTAAATCCACCAGATTACAGCATTCTGTGCTTACCATTTTCTAGTGCAGTCAGATAGGGTCTGTACTAACCCTCCTCGGCCTCCACCATGTGAGCCTTCCTTCAGGATGGCTGGTGGCAGTACCCTCAGCAAATGTCAATGCATTTCCTTTTGTGCTTTACTCTTTGGGTAAGTAATCATTTTTTTTTTTCTTTACCTCATCGTAACTGTTGTTATAACAAGACTAGTGAAATGAGCCATAATCCTGGACAAGACCCAATGTCCAGTTTTGACCATGGAGGGCTGGGGAGTGATGGAACATTGGCTCCTTCTGATCTTTCTCCTCTGTCTTCTCTGGGCAGAATATCTCCATGCATAATCCAGTCGGTGGGACGATGTCGGGGCCTGGAGCTCACCAGCTGGGCAGCACACGGATGCCCAACCATGACACCAGTGTTGTGATTCAGCAAGCCATGCCATCGCCCCAGTCCAGCTCAGTCATCACACAGGCTCCCTCCACCAACCGCCAGATCGGGTAAGGAGACTTCCTCCTCGTCTCTGGGGGAGCTCAGGCAAGCTTTTGAATATTTTCCATTTCTGGGACTTGGGTCTGTTGTTTTTCCTGTATGATATGATGCTGCCAAGAGGTCAGAGTGAAGCTTTGGATGAGAAGAGAGAGAAGGAGTCTCCATTTGGTGAGAGCTCTTTTAATCTTGGATGTCGAGGGGGAAAGATATTCGTTCTGTGACCTCTTTTCTTCAAATAAGATTTGTGAGTGACAGGCAGAAATAGTAGGTATTGTGCAGACCACAGAAGAGTGCTCAGGACAACAGGGAGAAGCTCTGCCAGCCCAGGTTCCTCCTTGCAGTGTACCCCCCTTTCCCGTCCTGGGAGTTTTGCAGCTGCTTGGCTAGGCCACCTGAGTATTCCATGGCCGCCTTTTCCTCTGGTCTTTCTTCCCTACGTCCCTTCCTTGTTATTTCTTTCTCATCAGCCCCCCACCCCTGCCTCTTCATTGGCTCATATTTATTCCTGAAACAGAAAAAACAATGGAAGCAGGCCCTTTCCCTCTCGTTTGTGGAACAAAGGCAACAATGAGACATTGGAGGGAACCGGTCGAAGTATCTTGACACTCAAATCATGTGATGGAAATTGCTCTTGCTTCTTCATACCATGTGACTGGTCCAGCCCGTTGCCACTCAAAGTGTCTGACCATCAGCAATGTGGACATTACCCAATAGCTTCTTTAGAAATGGGGAATCCCTGCCAACCTCCTTAACCCACCCCCCCAACTTCTGTATCTCCAGAATGAGGATGGAGTGTGTTCTTTCCAACCTCTAGAGAGTTAAGATGAAATGCAAGATGGGGAAGCATGTGGGTTCTTAGGGAAGAGAGGCACTGACTTCCCAAGTAGACACTGCTGGGTGCCGACAACTGGCTGCTCCGTGTCCCCAGAACTGTCTGCTGCAACCAGAAGGGGAACTTGCTGGGGTGGGTACATGCATCAGAACGCAGCCTGAATTTTCAGGTGCTACCTACCGGCTGTGGTGAACTAAAGCAAATTTAGATGCTTCCTTACAATTTTTCAATGTGTCTCCCCCGAGACCAACGGCGGCCACAGGAAACAGTCTTGGCTTACTCCTTCTTGAATGCTCTAGAAGAGGGAACTGTTTCTCAGGTTTCTCAGTTCATCAGAAGGACACCTGCTGAAAGCAGAACTGTAGGTAATGCCTCTTTCATTTGTCATGGGCGTGTTTGGTGCCTCATTCCAAGTACGGACAGTGAGTGTGGGTGTTGGGATGCTTCCCTTTGCTAAAGAAGCTAGGGTCACTTTAGCAAGCACCCCTGATAAAGATGTCTTCTCAAGCGACTTGGAAAGCAAGTATCGCCACTAGCTCAAAACCGCTATGTTCTAGGAGGGTGATGTGGCTTCATTCAAAAACGAAATCTAAGTCTCAAGGGACTCCTCTCTTGGGTCCTGACTGCAGGCAGAAAACTCACAGCTGGGCAAGCTAATTATAATTATTTTATTTTTCTTTCAAAGGGGGGGAAAGCATAAAATGGGCTGGAGTTTACTAGCAGTTTTACGGCATTCCTTCCCCCCTGCAGCCCCCTGCCTGCCCCTCGTACCCTCACCTACAACCCTCTCCGAGGCCCTTAGTGTTCCCCATTGTGAATGCAATGCTGGGTTTTATGAAGCAATCCTTTTAAGGCTAGCACTAAATTTTAAGCTGGGTATTGACTCTGTCAGTAATTTACCCAGCTGGCCCCACACTGTACATTTGGGGTGACATTTGTAGGCTGTGTCACTTTGCCATTCATTCTGCTTCTTGGAGGCGTTGTGTGTCTCTCCTGGTGCGTTCTAGGAGATAATTGTCACTTTTAGGACTCTATCTTCATGGCCCAGCTTGAGGGAGGCTGTTTCTTTTACTTCAGATCCTTCCCTGTCGCGCTTACTCTGTTGATTCAAGACCCCCACATCCTGTCGCTTATGGTGCTTCTCCATATGATCCATCCAAAGCCTCGCCCAGAAGATCGCGAGGCTCAGCAAGCCCCTGCCCTGCCCTTGTTACCAGCAGATTGAGTACGGAACCCTAGGTGGTAACATTTGGGGATGGTTGGCTCTTTTATTTCCCTCAGCAAAGAGGAAATGAGTGCTCATTTTAAAACACGAGTTCCCTCGGGAGACGTCTGCAAATGAGCATTTGAAATTGCAGATAGCTTTTTAAAAATTCTAATGTGTGTGAGTATGAGTGTGTGTGTGAGAGAGAGAGATGCGTGTGCATGCGTATGTGCACATGCATCAGCATACAGAACCATATTGTAGTAATATTCTGATTTTTATCACAACCTCAAATATTTAAGTGTCAAAATCTGGCCAAGCCACCTGCAAATGTTTGTCATGGCTATTGGCCAACAAAAACAGCACACAGCAATGAAAGTCTTCATTCAGGCTCAGGACTGAAGCTGCATCCAGCCAGAGAGACTGGGACCCACCTGTGCCCACGCACAACACTCTTGTGCTGTGGCCAGTGGGTGTGTTCACAACTGGAACTTTGTAGGAGACGGACCGCCTGACTCCTCTCCCCTTTTCTCCTTCCTTTTCACTGGGCCATCCTGGCGTGTCTTCTCTCTCTCTTCTCTCTCTCTCTCTCTCTCTCTCTCTCTCTCTCTCTCTCTCTCTCTCTCTCTTTCTCTCTCTCTCCCTCCCTCCCTCCCTCCCTCTCTCCCTCCCTCCCTCTCTCTCTCTTTCTCTCTCTCCTTTCATGCTGTGAAGCTTAAACTTAGAGGCTGGATATAAAGGTCTGCAAAATGGATGTGGTGCCAGTCGTCAACGAAGGTTTCCGGGACAAAGGGTACATGTCCTTGTAGGCATCTAATTTTCATACTGGGGGGGGGGGGCAGACACTGAGACAAAGCAGACCAAATGAGTGGAAAGATAAAAACCTGAAGAAATACTGTTAAGCAGCAGATTCAGCTTTTATTCTATTCCATGGCGACCCCTGCTCTGCCCTGGGCTCAGTTCTCTCAAAGTAGTGCTATTATCTCGATAGAAACTGGAGGGAAGTATAAATATCCCAGATTGCACTTGGGTGGTTAGGCAGGCTAGAAAACACACAGCTCTAGAGAGTGTGGGAGGCATCCCCCAAACCAGTGAGTGCTTGTGCTCAGTAAAACTGGCAGATACCCTGTCAGGAAGAGTGTCTTTGGCTGATTGATGGGAGCATTTTAGGAGATAAGTTTCCCAGATGGGATAAAAAAAAAATGAGCTATGGGGTTGTGGAGAGACAAGAGAGACAGAAAACAAGCATGTGTTAACAAGAGATGAAATCGATTTAGCCTTGAACCAACTATGTGGCACATTCCAAACAGTATCTCTACCCCAGTCGTTTTTATTAGATATCATATAACACGCTCATTAATTTAGGATCAAGACAGCAAAGCCTGGGAAAAATAGTACATGAGCAGGTAGTGGTAATGTAAATCCCATGCGCCTCTCATTCTCTCTCATCTCATGGGACATTTCTGGAGGAGCCTAAGATTAGCTGAGAAGCTAGATGAATATAACCCTAAGAGATCCAAGTGTTCTTGGAGAAGTCTTCCCCTCTGTGGGGTGGTAGATGGTTATACTCAGTAGTTCTTCAGGAGAGTGATGAATATGACATGGACATGGAGTTCTACCACAATGGTCAACAGGAGGGAGTTCTAACAGGTTGTTGGAGGCACTGTTGACTGATTCTATGGGTTTTCTTCTTGCTTTTGAATTCTCTGTATATCGGGGAAATGCATGCTCACATATGAGCGTGACTTCACAGTAATTGCTTACTATGGGAATTTTACACATTTGATGTCAGAATATATAAACCTGAAACATTTTGATTCTGTAGTCAGACTTCCTTTGGATCGCCAGGCTCCAAATAATGTTACGGAGACTTATTATTAATTATGAAAGCTTGGCCATTAGCTTAGGCTTGTCCCACTAGCTCTTATACTTAAATTAACCTGCTTTTATTAATCTACATTCTGCCACATGGCTCGATTACCTCTACTCTGTACCTTATGTCCAACCTCTTCAGTGTCTCCCTGGCGCTTCCTGGATTCTCTCTCCTTTTCCTCTCTCTCCCCAGAAATCCCACCTATCCTCTCCTGCCTAGCTATTGGTCAGTCAGCTCTTTATTAAACCAATCAGAAGACACCTTGGCAAAGACACATCTTCTCAGTGTACAAATATTCTGCAATGTGGTTCTATTAGCAAATTAGCCAGCTGTACTAGGGGATCTAGCAATTAGTTTCAACAGAACGCATAAATGAAGCTGCTTATGTGGGAAATCCCTGATTTTACTCAAATTTTAGTCTGTGGGGAGCAAATGTCCACATCATGTGTAGCGATTGGGGATCAGGTCGTCAAATCTGTTTGCATGGAGCTGAAGAAAGGTGGGGCTATTTCTTAGCAATAAACTGCACGAAGTTTCCAGAAACAAATCTCATTTTATATAAGCAGGTGCTGTGAGTGTGAATTCTACCTCATTTTATATAAGAAGGTGCTGTGAGTGTGAATTCTACCTCATTTTATATAAGAAGGTGCTGTGAGTGTGAATTCTACCTGCTTCCACCCTGGTCTATGTGGCTTTCCCAGTGTTTCTTTGTAATTCCTATCGCTGTCTGTCGTGAACGATATCTGACGATGGCCCAGGGGCACCCCAAGGGAAAAAAAAAAAAGAACAAACACTCAGCTCTAAAATGTCAAGTGAAGCTCCGGTGCCAGAGCGCTGCTGCTGCTGCTGCTGCTGCTGCTTTTCCCAAGGAGGGGAACAGGAGGCTTTGCTGGATGCCATTGTCACTGCCACTCTAAGTTCCATCTGGCAGGGATGTTTGGAAGTAAGGGGTCCTGTCACTGTTTCCCTGGAAAAAAGGAAACAAGGAGGGTTTGGGGAGTGCTGCATTCACAGACAGGCAGTTTAAAAATCTAAATAATAAGGCATCTTATGGTTAAAACCGTGCTTGCGCGTCCTGTGTTTGATCCCATCATTAAGG